CAGACACTAGCACGCACAGACATTCGCAGACACGCACCACACACAGACACTCGCACAGGAGCCTGTCAGGGCGTCGAGGGGGCTTTTTGGGGGCTTTTGGGGGCCCTCTTGGGGGCTCTTGGGGCCTCCTGGGGGCCTCGTGGGCTGGAAGACTAGATTTGTTTCCGCTTTTCGTCCCTCTTTTGGGTCCTCTTGGGGCCGTCTTGGGGGTCTCTTGGGCCGTCTTGGGTAGCTTTTGGGCCGCCTTGGGGCCCTCTTGGGCCGTCTTGGGACTGTCTGGGGGCCTCCAGGGCCGTCTTCGAGCGGTCTTGGGGGCCTCTTGGGCCGTCTTGGAGCGTCGGAAAGCAGAAAAAAGCGACAACCCCAAACACATAAAAAAACCAATGGAAATCAACGATTTTTGCCTCTGGGGGCCCTCGTGGGAGGCCTCTTGGAGGCCTCTTCAGACGTCTTGGAAGGCTCTTGGGCCGTCTTGGGGTCATCTTGGAAGTGTTCGGGCGATCTTTCGGGGTCTCGGGACTTTCGTAGACCGTCCTAAGAGACTTTTGCGGCCGCGGCCACCCTTGTAGCGCATCCTCGAGATTAGAGCCTTCTGTAAAAGCAGCCCCCCCGCATCCGCCGGAAACTCGCACCCCCCCCCCCCATCCCCCCTTCCTCGGCAGAGCCACCCCGGCAACCCCCCCAGAGGCTGAGGCTCAGCCTCGAGGCTGTAGCTGAGACTCCTTGAAACTCACACGCCGGATCGGCGGATTTCGCCGTGCCTGGGTGGTGGGTCAGAGGCCTCATGGATGTTGGTTGGGCTCTCGTGGTTGGCCTTTCGGGGGCCTCTGGGAGGCAGTTTTGAGGCCTCTTGGGGGCCGTGTTGGGGCCTCTTGGGGCTTCTTGGGGGCCTCTTGGGGCTTCTTGGGGTGCCTCTTGGGGGCCCCTTGGGGCCTCTTGGGGCCTCTTGGGGCCTCTTGGGGGCCTCTCGGGGACTTTTCGGTTCCTGGTCCTCTTCCTGGGCTCCTTTTGGGGTTGTGTTGGGGCCTTCTTGGGCAACTTTGGGCGCCTCTTGTGGGCTGTCTTGGGGCCATCTTGGGCCGTCTTGGGGCTTTCTTAGAGCCTTCTTGGGCCGTCTTGGGGCGGTCTTGGGGGCCACTTGGGTCGACTTGGAGCCTGGGAAATGCGAAAAGGCGAGAAGGCCAACGTCTTTGAAAAAACCATCGTATGATGATAGATGTTGGCCTCTCGGGGCCCTCTTGGGTCTCTCTTGGGGTCTTGTACGCGTTGTGGGCCGTCTAGAAGCCATCGTGGGTGTCTCGGACCGATCGCTCGACGACTCGGAGCCCTCTTGGACCGTCTTGGGCGCCTCTTGGGGTCCTCTTGGATCGCTCTGGGGCGCCGGAAAGCCACGCCCAGGAGGAAAACCATCTCTGGGGGGACCTGGCCGGGGTATGTTGCGTTCGGGGACCCCTAGTGCCGCCCCGCGCGCGCGAAGTAGAACTACTGTGGCGCAGTTCCCGGAGATCTTAGCACGCCTCTGGCTCGCTGGGCCTGCAAACTCTTTCAGCCAGGGGCGATCGGTTTGCTCCCTTTCCCCTCGGGTCTCTGGTCTCCCCTTCGCCCCCTCTTGCATCGCTTGACTCTTGCCGCTCAGACGAGTTGCACTGTCGCTGCATCCATCGCAGTCGTCGTTGATGAGTCGTCGACGACCGGTTTCGTCCGATCCGTGTTTTTCCAGCCCCTTGGAGGACGTAGCGCGCAGAGATGACGACCTTTTACCCAAGCGTGAGTTCTCGTTAGGTGCTGGCGTTCCCCTGCTCTCTCCTCTTGGGTCGCCCCCGATCGCCTCCTCTGTGTCGCTTTCCCTTCCTGTTCCGTGGAAGTGCCTGGTGGTGGCGGACGTGGCGGACCCCCCTGTGGCCCCGTGCGCCACCCGCCGCGCCCTCCTGCCCGACGGAGTCCGCACTTAGAGTAGCCGCGCGTCGCATCATCAACCTTGGTCCTCTTGCCCCCTTATGAGTTCTTGGAAGCCGCCAGCCTGCATCGGTGTCCTCCTGCGGGCTGCCCGGACCCGTCTTGAGCTGTCCCTCTGGCCGAAGCATGTCCGGCGACCAGCTTCGCCACGACGAGGGAACGTAGAATCAGGAGGAGGAGGAGAAGGAGGAAGGGGAGGAGGAGGAGGAGGAAGGGGAGGAGGAGGCAGAGCATGCGGGGAGGGTGAGTGAAGGTGTGATGAGGTGGAGAAGATGGAGGAGGTCCAGGAAGTAGGAGGAGGAGAAGGAGGAGGAGGACGAGGAGAAGATGTGGGAAGATCCGTGGCGGAGCAGGCAGCAGGCGGGTCACGACGATGATGCACTGGACCGGTACGGGGACGAGGGGGGAGGATGGAGGGCGAGGAGGGCGACGGCTCGGGCGAGAAGGAGCACGGAGGGGCAGCTGGAGGAGGCCGACGGGGGCGGGGAGGGAGGAGGAGGATCAGGACGAGGGCGAGGTCGAGGATGAGGAAGTGGAGTATGTGAAGGATTAGATGATGCTGATGCTGATGCTGATGCTGCTGATGATGATGATGATGATGACGATGATGATGATGCTGATGATGAGGATGATGAGGATGATGATGATGATGATGACGATTATGATGATGATGATGCTGCTGATGCTGATGATGATGATGATGATGGTGGTGATGATGATGATGATGATGAGGATGAGGATGAGGATGAGGATGAGGATGAGGATGAGGATGAGAGTGAGGATGAGGATGAGGATGAGGATGAGGATGAGGATGAGGATGAGGATGAGGATGAGGATGAGGTTGAGGATGAGGATGAGGATGAGGATGAGGATGAGGATGAGGATGAGGATGAGGATGAGGATGAGGATGAGGATGAGGATGAGGATGAGGATGAGGATGATGATGATGATGATGATGATGAGGATGAAGAGGATGAGGTATGAGAGGAGGAGGATGAGGATGGGATGAGGATGATGGATGATGATGATGATGATGCTGATGTGATGCTGATGCTGATGCTGATGCTGATTTGATGATGATGATGATGATGAAGATGGTGATGGTGATGATGATGATGATGATGATGATGATGATGATGATGATGATGATGATGATGATGATGATGATGATGAGGTGGAGGAGGAGGAGGAGGAGGAGGAGGTTAGGACGAGGAGGAAGAACAGGAGAGGAGGAGGACGAGGACGAGGACGAGGATGAGGACGAGGACGAGGAGGAGAAGGAGGAGGAGGAAACAACTAATGGCAATAATGAGGACGAGGACGAAGGGAACCACGGGAGCAGCAGGAGGAGGAGGAGGAGGAGGAGGAGGAGCAGCAGGAGGCAGAGGGGGAGGAGGAGGAGGAGGAGGAGGAGGAGGAGGAGGAGGAGGAGGAGGAGGACGAGGAGGAGGAGGAGGAGGAGGGAGATGCGGAGGACGAGGACGAAGACGAGGAGCAGCAGGTCGATGACGAGGACGAGCAGCAGTAGGAGGAGGGGGGTGATGGGGGGGTGGTACGTTTTGCCTCCGCCCCAGGTCCTGACACCGAGAGGTTCCTGAGGGACCGCATAGGGCCCAGGAGGCTTCCGGGCGTCCAAACAGGGCCAGGACCGCTACCAGGCCCCCCAGAAACCATGCACACATTGCGAGCCTCGATCCTCGATGGGCAAGGGCAACTGCTCAGCAGGCCGGGGTGCGGAGAGGCTGGAGCAGGCAGCAGCCGGCCCCCGCCGCGCGGAGGACGAGTACAAGTTCTCGGCGGGGCCCCCGCGGGCGCCGCCCGGCAGCGGAGCACGACCGACCGCTTTCCGAGCAGTCCTGGCGGCGGCGGCGGCGGAGACGAATTCGTCCAGGGCGTCCGGGAGGGGGGTGATTCGGACGCGGGCAGGGCGAGTATAATTCCGTTCCGAAGCTTCCCGGAACGTTCTCAGAGCGTTCCAGAACGCTCAGCGAAGGCCGTGGCGCCCGATACATTCTTCAGAGCCGCTGGATCTCAGGGATTCTCGACTCATCCTCACCCGAATTCATATTCGCCCTGGCTTTCACTTAGTGGTGACGGGGGGGTAGCCCTAAAGGTTCTTCATTGCTGCCGGTGACCCCCCCTGAAAGTTCTCGGCTGGCAATTAGGCGCGTCCTTTCCCTTCTCGTCCTTCTCCTCATCATCATTTCCATCAGGGATTCGAACCCCCCTCGATCATCAGCGGTGGCCGCCGCGGGGGAGTAATCATTTTCAAGTATCCAAGCCCGTCCCGCCACCGACAGTTTTGAGACGTCTTGGGGGCCGTTTTGGGGCCTCTTGGGTGCTTTTTTGATGCTGCTGTGGGCCTCTTGGGTGCCTATTGGGGGCCTCTTGGGGGCCTGCTTGTGGCGTCTTGGGCGCTTCTTGGGGCCTCCTGGAGGCCTATTGGGGCGGAAGGCTCGGATGTTTATGTTCGTGCTCCCTCTCCTGGGTTCCTGTTGGGGCTGTCCTGGGCCCTCCTTGGGCTGTCTTGGGCGCCTCCTGGGCCGTCTTGGGGCCATCTTGGGCCGTCTTGGGGCCCTCTTGGAAGCCTCTTTGGCCGTCTTGGGGCGGTCTTGGGGGCCCCTTGGGCCGTCTTGGAGCGTCGGAAAACCTAGAAGTTGAGAGCGCCAAAATCATTTCACAACCGAAGGCAAATCAATGATTGTTGCCTCTTGGGGCCTCTCGGGAGGTCTTTTGGAGGCGTCCCACAGCGTTCGGGTGCGTCCCACAGCGTTCGGGTGCGTCCAAGAGAGGGTTGAGGACTAGGTTTAGGTCGGGCATGTCCCCCTACAGGAGGAGTAGGTACAAAATGTTTACAACATAGTTTGGAGACGATGCTTCTATTACTGTTTGGGTAATTTGGAGTACTGTTAGGATTTTTTTCAGGTTAAAATCCGATTGTATGGGGACATGCCCGACCTAAGACTCGGTCTGTGTGAGCACGTGTGTTTCCCTTCTACTGGCTGCGTCGGTGACGATTCTGGCACCCCCAGAACGCCCTCGGAGGGGCACAGTTGTGGGGAAGCATCCCGAGGCGAGGAAACTTCGAGCAACCAGTTGAGAACCTCCGAGACCGAGGAAAGACGCTCAGATTAAGAGAGTCCGATCGTCGGATGTCTGGGGTCATCTCGCAATCACGTCTTTAGAGTGCATTCATGTGCGCTAGCGTCTGGTAATCGATGAGCAAGCGCTGGCTCAGGTCGATTCAGCGTCGATGTAGCGTCTATTTACAGCGCGTCGGCTAGCGTCGGATAGCGCCGATTCGCAACTGCCAGCAAGATGGCATGGGAACTCACACGCCAGGAGGAGGGAGGGGGAGGAGGAGGAGGAGGGGGGTGAGGGAGGGAGGAAGAAGGGAGGAGTAGGAGGAGAGAGGAGGAGGAGGAGGAGGGAGGAGGAGGAGGAGGAGGAGGGAGGAGGAGGGAGGAGGAGGAGGAGGAGGAGGAGGAGGAGGAGGAGGAGGAGGAGCAAGAGTGGCCACCGGCGCGGTGGTGTGTGCAGGTGCCCTCGGCGCGGCAGGAGAGCCCGCCGCGCGCCCGCGCCGCCGCGCGCGCGCCCGCGCCCCCGCGCGCGCAGCCCTCTGGCAAGTACTACGCGCCGCCCTTCGCCGACCTGGGGAGGCCCTGGGCCGAGCCATTCTCTCTCCTCCTCTCCCCTCCCTCTCCCTCCCCCCCCCTCCTCCCTCTCCCTCCTCCTCCTCCCTCCTCCTCCCCTCCTCCTCCCTCCCCCTCCTCCCTCCCCTCCTCCTCCCTCCCTCCCTCCTCCTCCCCTCCCGTCTCCTCCGCCTCCTCCGCCTCCTCGCCTCCTCCTCCTTCCACTTCTCATCTCCCCCCTCCCTCCTTCTCCTCCTCCTCTTCCTCCTCCTCCTCCTCCTTCTCTCCTTCTCCTCCTCCTCCTCCTCCTCCTCCTCCTTCTCTTTCTCCTCCTCCTCCGCGGAGCTTCGCGTCCCGCCATGTTCAGGCCTCGGAGTTTCACAGACGGCCCATCGCGTCCAGCAGAGCTGCGGTCGGAGGAGCGAGAGGAAGGCTCTGCGGAGCAGCAGGAGGCATGAAGCAGTGGCGACGCGTCCTCGCTCGCCTGTGGCCTATCAAGCCATGTTCTAAGAACCTTTTGCAGCGTGTTCGAGTTGCTCTTAGAGCATGTCTGGCCGAGACAGCCTTGTTTCAGTCGATCGGTTCGTGTTCTACGAGCGCTGCTTTGTTGATGGAGCAGTCCCTGGTTCCAAGGGCACTGCGTGGTAGGCCTACCTGAATGCCGGGACGGTCTGCTCCTGTCCCACCTTCTCCTTTCCCTCCCTCACTCCCTCCGCCCCCTCTCTGTCCCTCAATCATCTGTCCCCTCTCCTTCTGTCCCTCCCTCACTCTCCCAGGAGGAGAAGGAGGAGGAGGAGGAGGAGGAGGAGGAGGAGGAGGAGGAGGAACAGGAGGAGGAGGAGGAGGAGGAGGAGGAGGAGGAGGGGGCTCTGTCCCTCCCTCTCTTCCTCCCCCATGGTCCTCGGGAGGAAGGCCTCCGTCGCCGCGGCCCGCCCCCGCTAGGGAAACAAGCAATGGCATCAACGTAACAACTCGGAGGTCCGCGCGGACCTTTTTTTTATAATATATATATATATATATTATTTTAATATATATATATATATATATATATGAATTTGTTGTTCCCCTGCCCTTTTTTATGTGTGTGTGACTTTTTGGCGGCGCAGATGGGTTGGATCTGCGCGGACTGTCGAACGTGTCCGTTTATGCAGTTGTGCCTCCTCTATCTATGTCCGCCTCGCGGGGCCCTAGCCAACCCCCAAGCCGCTCCCCCTCTCCTCCGTTACACGTCGAACGCAATTTCCCTTAGGTCCATTCGCCTTAGGCTCACAGAGAAAGGACAGGGGGGGCTCAGGAAGCGCCCGTGAGTGGAAAGGCCGAGATGGGAGGAGGACACAAGAGGGAGGAGAGAGGTGGGCGCGTGCGAAGCCACCCCCCACTTGGGAACGCGTTGCGCCAGGCCGTTCCCCAGCAGCTTCCCCTTCCGCCCACCCGGGGGTAGGAGGAAGGGGAAGCGGTGTTTGAGGGCGAGGGGAGGGCAGGCTGCCCCCTTCTCGCCCTCCGACCCGCACCTCCCCCACAAACTCCCCCTGCCTGTCCGGGAGGAAGAAAATCAGACTGCGCAAGCGTACACTGTCAGAGGCCGGCACGGATCTCTCGGACTGGCGCCGGGCTCCTCAACCCTGGCCCGCGGAGCGCGCCGGGGGCGGCGCCGAGATCGCCGCAGGGGGGGGTCCAGCGCCGCGCCAAGAAGTCTGCGCGGACCTCCGGAAGTTCCTGCGTATGCTGCTCGCCGTCCTTCCATCTGTGTCCTCCCTCCCCCTCGTCACGCTACATGCCAGCGTCCCCCTCGTCCTGCGTGTCCCCCTCCTCCCTCCCCCTTCAATCTGTCTCCTCCCTCCCCTCCCCCTCGTCTGCCACTCCGCCTCAGCTACGTCGACTACATCCGCAGCCTGCCCATCAACCACATGCCGGAGGCTCCAGCAGCGCTCTTCCGCGCCAGTCGCGCGCGCGCCGCGCCGAGCTGTGGCGCCGATCTGAGCAGCGCGTGTCCCAGGGCCAAAGGGTCCAGTAGCAGGGGCTCTTTGGTTTTCGCGAACGGGCGTTGGAGGTGGGAGGCGGAGAGGGCGAGGGACGGTGGCGGAAGTGGTCCTTACTTTCACGCAAGAGAGGCCCGAGCAGAGCAACGCGCACCGCGACGACGCCGACGCCGCCGACGCTGGCGGATACGAGGCGCACAAGCGATCCGCACCGAAGCAGGGATCTGAGAAAGTCGTTGTTCTCTTTTTCATGTTTTGACGATCGGCGCTGGCCCTCGCCCACCCCCCCGCTCCCCCCTCCCTCTGGAGTGGATCTTGGCCGTTTTTGGCGCCTGTGTCGAGCAGATGGGGCCTCCCCCCACTGGGCGCACTGTCGCAAACAGTTTTTGGTCGGCGGGGCGAGAGCGAACCTCTTCCACTGTCGCAAACAGTGAGTTGCACGAAGCAGAGGTCTGGATCTAGCCCCCCCCCTTCCCCCCCCTTTCCGCCAAATGTCGAAACGCCGAGTAAGACCCCCCTCTCCCCCTTCCGCCAAATGTCTGGATCTAGCCCTCCCCCCTTCCCCCTTTTTCCGCCAAATGTCGAAACGCCGAGTAAGACAACGCTCACACAAGGGCCCACCCTGCGAGGTGTGGTGCACCGCACATCGCCCAGCGGTGCTGCGGCCTCTCCCAGAGCACGGCGGGCCCGCCCAAACACGTCGCGTCAGTACGCCCGCGGGCCCTGCGGAGCCCCGAGAGGCTCGTTTCGGCGCCCTCCCACGAGGAGACGGCGGAGAAGAGGGAGATTTAGACAAGTGTCGGCCTGCCAATCGGCCTGTCAAACGGCAAAAAAGCAGCTCCAGGATTGGAGCCGGAGCCGGAACCGGTCAAAAAACGACGCCGGAACCAGTGACAAAAACGGCGTCGGAACCGGCAACAAAGACGGCAAGACGGAGCCAGTAAAAAAACGGCCTTGTCCTTTCCAGGGCCCCCTCGGAGGAGGGCCAGTAGAGAACGTCTGTTCTTTCCGGCGTTCCTCGTACGTCTTGTGGCCTCCCGGGGGCTTCTCGTCGCCACGGCTCGATTCGCCTGGAAGAACGGGCCAGAGTGGATCCCGGGAGCGGTCTGGAGACAGACCTTAGCGGGTTTGGGCGGGGCGCGTGGTCCGCCGTTGTCCTAATTGGCCCTCCTCCAGCACAAAGAGCTTTCAAACATATGGCTGGCTGTCTGTCTCTCAGGTAATCGTTTTCTCATTCCTTGCTTTGTCGATCGGCGCGGGCCCTCGCACCCCCGCCACTCCATGGAGTGGATCGTGGCTGTTTTTGGCGCCTGTTTTCGTGGAGTCTCCCCCAGAGGACGCACTGCTGCAAACAGTCGCATCACGCAGAGGTCCGGAGCCAGATCGCCCCCCCTTTCGCAATATGTCGAAACGCCGAAAATGAAAACGTTGACCAGCGGAGCATAAGGGATGCACGCTGTCGCTGCAAGCCGCATGCGCACACTTTTTGGCGTCGCGGCCCAGCACGCAGCGACAGGGCCTAGCTGCTTTGAAAACAGTGAGGCGCGCGCGTCTACGCCCTGCCGAGCCCTCAGAGACCATTTAGGGCCTCGCAGCCACCAGCAGCCATAACCATTCGGGCATGGATGACGGGGAGGGGGCGGTGGGCGAACACACGAGCACACACGCACAACACACAAGCACACACACATGCACATGAACGGTTGTTTGTTTATATCGTGAGTTTTATTGTTATGGTTATTATTTTTATTATCATGGTTTCCTTGTTGTTATTATTACTTATAAGTTTCAGTAGCATGTTCATTATTATTTTCAGTATTAGGATCCTTAGTATTTATTAGTATTCGTATGATGCATCCCCTCCTCGCCTCCTACTTCGACGACGCGACTGCCCTGGCTTTGCCCTGGGAGCGGATGGAGCGGCGGCCGCGGCGGAGACCTCAGGCGAGGCGGCGAGTTCGGCGCCACAGCCCGCCAATTGAGGTCTCTCATCCCCCTCTCTTTCCCCCGCCTCCGTCGCGACCGCTGGCGCACTTCGCGCGACGGGGAGGGGACTCCAGCTCAGATCCCATGAACCCGCGCGGACCGTCAGAAGTTGATGTTTATGTCGTTCTGTGCTCATCGAGTCATGCTGCGCAAGACGTCCAACAACACCCCCTCCCCCCTTCCCCCCCGACGGTGACGACGGCGGTCCCTCCTCCCCCTCCTCCTCCTCCTCCTCCTCCTCCTCCTCCTCCTCCTCCTCCTTCTCCTCCTCCTCCTCCTCCTCCCCCTAGCGGCGGCGACGGCGGCGACGAGCTTGCGCGAGGCGTTCGGCCTCCACGCGAACGCCAACCTCGTCGCCGCCATCGGTGAGGCCAGGCGCGGCGGCGCGGCACTGGAGAGGTTCGGTTAGGTCTCTGGGTCTGCGGAGGAGGGGGAGGAGGAGGGGGAGGAGGAGGAGGAGGAGGAGGAGGAGGAGGGGGAGGAGGAGGAGGAGGAGAAGGAGGAGGAAGAGGAGGAGGAGGAGGAGGAGGGAGGAGGAGGAGGAGGAGGAGGAGGAGGAGGACGAGGCCAGGAGGAGGAGGACGAGGAGGAGGAGGAGGCCCGAGGCCTCCCAGATTGGGTTCGAGTCGGTTAGGAGGATCGCGCCGCGTCGCCGATGCGCCAGTGATGCTGCTCGATGTGGAGACCGAGTTCTCCACGCCGACGTCGCCGATGCATCGCCGACGGCGCCGATGCATCGCCGATGCGGCGCGATGCTGGCCTCTTTGGGCCTCTTGTGGCCTCTTGGGGGCATCTTGGGCCGTCTTGCGGCGCTCTTGCGCCGTTTGGCCCCGTCGGAGCCCATGCTGTGGGCCTAACGCAGCCGCCTTGGGGCTCTCTTGGGGTCATCTTGGACTGTCTTAGGGGCCTCTTGAGCTGTGTTTCGGGCCTCTTCGGGCCGTCTTGGATCCATTTGGAAGCTGCTTGGGCCGTCACGGGCGTCTGAGAGTCAAACAAGGCGAGATCGCTCAAATCCGTAAAAAGTTAGGGAGAATTGATGATGTGGGGGCCTCTTGGAGGCGCTCTTGGGGGTCCTTTTGGGGCCCTTTTGGCGCGCCTTTGGGGCTTTTTGGACTGTCGTTGGGGCCACCTTGGACTGCCTTGGGGCCGGCTTGGCCCGTGCTGGGCGATCTTGAGCCGTCTTCGCGCCCCCTGACTTGGTTCCCGATGGGCCCAGAGGGCCCAGACCATATACACCTTAGGCGATGCTTAAGAAAACCTAAGTTTTCGGCCAGAGTCTCGATTATTCTTAACTTTTGAATGTAAATCCCAAGATTTTGATAGAAGTTCTGGGTTTTATTCAAGTTCTGAGACTATGAATTTCTTAACCCATGATTTCTTAAGCATTTCGCAGGGTGTAGAGTTTCCATAGTCGGATGCTGTGGGTGCTGTGGCCCGCCGGGGGGGGGGGGGGGGCTGGTCGGCGGAAGCGGCGCGGCCTCGGGAGGGGGTTCAGGGGGCGTTTCATCAGAACGTCAGCCGCAATACACCTTAGGCGATGCTTAAGAAAGCCCAAGTTTTCGTCCAGAGTCTCGATTATTCTTAATGTTTCAATGCAGATCCTAAGATTTTGATAGACGTTCTGGGTTTTTATTCCAATTCTGAGACTATGAATTTCTTAACCCATGATTTCTAAAGCATTTCGCAGGGTGTACCTGCGACACCCGGGAGGGGGGGTTAGGGGGTGTTTCGTCATCGTGGGGGGGTGTTCGCAATACTTACGTACATTGGATACGCTGCATTCCGGCGTTCGCACGTCACCTCCAGACGTGGATTCCTCTCGCTTCGAGGAGTGCACGTCCGGAGCACGTACAGTCCTGTCGTTGTGGGGCCTCCTGGGAACTTCTTGGGAGCCTCTTGGAGGCCTCTTGGGGGCCCCTTGGGGCTTCTTGGCGGCCTCTGTAGGGCCTCTTGGGGCGCTCTTGCGCCAGCTGGCCTCTCCGGACGCTGGTTTGGGAGCCTTTCTGGGCTGCGTTGGGGCTTTTTTGGGATCCTATTGGGCCGTCCTGGGGTCCTCTTTGGACCGTCTTGGGGCGTCTTAGGGCCCTCTTGGGAGCTTCTGGGACCGTTTTCGGCTAATCTTGGAGGCTGCTTGGTCCGTCGTTCGCCCCCGAGAGCCCTCTTGGGGCCATCTTGGACTGTTTGTGGGCCGTCTTGGTCAGTACTGAGACCAGCTTGAGCCCTCTTGACGCCATCTTGGACCCCCAAGAGACCCCAAGGGTCCAAAATCATATCGGTTTTGGTAAGTTCTGAAACCCAGAGGGGGTGTGCATCCTGGTCGGCGGAAGTGGCGTAGCCTCGGGGGGGGTTAGGGGTGTTTACATTGTAATGTCAGACGATACAACATGTAGTTAGTGGTTACGCAATAGTTGGATGCAGTGGATGCGTTGCATTAAGGCGTTCGTTGGGGAAACGCTGCCGCTCAGCACGTCACCTCCAGAAGTTGATTCTTTTCGCTCCGCGGAGTTCACGTCAGGAGCATGTACAATCTAGTCGTTCAGGGGCCTGCTGGGAACTTCTTAGGAGTCTCTTGGAGGCATCTTGGGGTCACCTTGGGTCTCTCGGGGGCCTCTTTGGTCAGGGCTTCTTGGGGCCGTCTTGGGCCGTCTTGGGGCCCTCTTGCACCGCCTGGCCTCTCTGGAAGCCATTTTGGAGGCCTCTCAGGGCCGCCTTGGGGCTCTTTTGGATCCTCTTGGGCCGCCCTGGGGGCATCTTGGACCCTCTTGGGAGCCTCTCTGGGCCGTCTTGGGTGGGTCCTCCTGGGCCGTCTTGGGGCCCTCTCCGGGACCTCTAGGGCCGTCTTGGGGCCATCGTGGAGGCTGCTGAGGCCGTCATGGGCCCCCGAGAATTGAAAAAAGCGAGAACGCTCAAAACGCTTCTGAAAAATAAAGGGACAATTCCTAGTTTTGGCCTCTGGAGATTGTCTTAGGGGTCCCCTTGGGGCCGTCATCGGCCGTCTTGGAGCCGTCTCGGCCCGTCTCGAGACAATCTTGAGCCGTCTTGAGGCCCTTTGGGACTCCCAAGAGGCCAAACGGGCCCAATCATCGTAGGTTTTTTTGACCTCACAAAAGCGGTCCCCCACGGTCGACTTTCCGATGTTGGATCCAGAGTTGGTTTAGCGTTCCCCGCTGCCACGTCTTTGGAGGGCGCCGACGTTGACATCCAGATTCTATTGTTGCGAAGATATGGTTGGCAGTTTCCTGGGGAAGGTGGAACAGGTGGGTGGGTTCGGTTGGGGCAAAGCGAGCAACGGTTGCGGTCACTAGTGCGCGCGGGCGCGCGTGAGAAGTGACAACTAAGGCAAGGACCAGGGGGGCCAAGGACGGTGAAGAGTTGGAGGCCGAGATTCGGATCAAGGATTGGCTTTGCCCCAACTCCACCCTTGGCCTGCCCTGACCTCGTAGTGAACAAGGCACCATGCCAAACCGAAGCAATTCTGGCTCAACTAATCCTGATTCTGCGCGCGCTGGATCCGACTCTGGCGCCGTACACGAGGAACCGTGCGAAGATGGGTAGAGGCGCTGCGATCACCTCGAGCATTGAGAACTTCAATGCAGCACGGAATCCAGCATTGGCAAGGGTAAAGGCAGACACCAGTTTGCCAACGTTCGAGGAAGGAAAAGACTTCAGGCTTGTGTGCCTCGAGAGTGGTTCCATGCGAAACGACCTTCCAGTCAATGCGACAACTCCCGGTGCCATTAGGCTTGCTCAGGATACCGATGTACCTTCGCCCAGCAGAGTCGATGTAGACGATGTGCCTGGGGGTTTCCTGCTTCACGACGTGTTGACCATCTAATGGCCTTCGGCCCCTCCTGCCATTGTGCCTGGTTTGTAGATCTGGGGTATATTGCGTGTTCGTTGGGATCTCGCGGTGCCTCTTTTGGGTCTCTTGGAGGCCTCTTTGGGGCCTCTTGGGCGCCTTTGACGGGCCTCTTTGGGTGGGTGCCTCCTGGGGGGCTCTTTGGGGCGGAAGTCTCGGATGTTCGGTTCGTGACCCCTTCAGCACCAAAGGAGATTTCATGTGTCTTGCCTCTCGGGGCCCTCTTCGGAGGCCCGTTGGAGGCCCCCCGGGGCCCTCTCGGAGGCCTCTTGGGCTCTCGTGGGGCCCTCTCGGGCGTCGCGGAGCGAGCGTTCGGCGACTCGGGGCCCCCCTTTGCCCGTCTTCGGGGCCTCGGGGGGGGGGCCCTCTTGGCCCGTCTTCGGGCCCCCTCTGGGCCGGGGGAAGAGAAGAGCACGCGGCGAGACGCGGGGGCGCCCGGGGTGCACGCGCCGAGCACCGACGGGTTTGGGATTTTTTCGGGGTCCGGGCCCTTTCTGAAGAATCTCCAGGCCAGTGAGGAGCCTTTTGTTTTTTTTCCCACCATCGCCACCATAAGTTGGTGGGGGGGAATGAGGAGGAGGAGGAGGAGGAGGAGGAGGAGGAGGAGGAGGAGGAGGAGGAGGAGGAGGAGGAGGAGGAGGAGGAGGACGAAGAGGAGCAGGAGAGGAGGAGGAGGAGGAGGAGGAGGAGGAGGAGGAGGATACCCCCCTCCAATTTATGGTGGTGGTGGAAAACACGCCCATCATCCAAGGGCTTGGCAACGGACCTGAGGACACGCCCACTCCGTGTCCAGGGGTACGGTGGCGGACCCGTGAGTGTGACCAGATGATCAAGCTGAGCGAGACATTCGGTTATACGGAGGACGCTGCCGTGTCGATGGCCCGGAATATGAGGCAGAACGAGAACTGCGTGTGGATTGCGGACGATCCCCTCTGTGACACGCTATTTGAGCGATGTCGCGGCCTCTTACCGCCTGAGGTGCAGGGCGGAGAGGTGTGTGGTTTCAATGCGCGGTGGCGTCTTTACAAGTATGGGCCTTTGGACAGATTCAAGCCGCACATTGATGGAAGTTGGCCAGGAAGTGGTTTGGATGCGAGTGGCAAGCTTGTTCGGGACAGATATGGTGATAGATGGTCTCAGCTCACGATCGTCTTCTATCTCAACGACGACTTTGAAGGGGGAGAAACTCGCTTCTTCTATCCCACAGGCGTTGGCAATCAGCATCGGGTTGCGGAGATGAAGGCGACACGTGGAGGAGCCGTGTGTTTTTATCACGGTGAGCATCCTCAAAGTCCTCTGCACGAGGGAGGGCTCGTGACTGCAGGGACGAAGTACATCATCCGCAGCGACGTGCTGTACAAGTTGCCTGGGTCTGGCCAGGATTCTCTGCAAAGCGGCTGGCAGAGCCACTATGCGCAGGTGCCGCCTGGAGACGCCGAGGACATGCTGGCGGAGTCTTCCTGAGTTGCTGCCGCGGCATGTGGGCGATGGCGCCGACGCCTGACGAATGGCTTTCCTCTATCATCGCGGGGACTCCGCGCGTGCTCGGACGGCCGAGCATGCCGTCTCGCAGGTCCGAAGACAGGTCGGCCGCAGTTCCCGAGCGAGCGAGCAGCCGTGTGCCATCAGCGCGCAGGCAGATACAGGGCACGTTCGCGGAGGGTGCGAGGCAGGGGAGGGGAGGGGAGGGAGGCGCGAAGCGTTGGCACCGTGCCAAGATGGGCAGCGATGCCAGCGATGGCCAGCAGAAGGTCGGCACACCCCCCTGCAATGCCAAGGGGAACCCGACAGCGACGACGACAGACGGGCAGACATAACACATGCTGCGCGGGACAAAAAAGAGGCGAGCGAACAAACGTATGCCATGGGCGTGCGGGCAGATACAAGCGAGGGTAGATACACCATGACGGGACACTATACAGCGTGTAGCACTTGCGCAGTATGCTGATATCGTGAAGACGTTGCATTCCAGCATACGCGGAACACATTGCCGCAAAGCATGCCACTTTCTGGACGTGGATCCCTTTTCGCGTCGCGGGGTGCACGCGCAGTCCCCTCGTTGCAGGGTTTGGTGGGAACGTCTTTGGGGCCTGTAGGAGGCCTCTTCTGGTTTCTTGGGGCCTATTGGGGGCTTCTTCGGGGCTCTTTGGGCCCCTTGGAGGCGTCTTGGGCCATCTTGGCCATCTTGAGGCGCTCTTGCGCCGTTTAGCCTCTTCGGAGGCCGTCCTGTGGGCCTCTCGCGGCCGCCCTGGGGCCCTTTTGGGTCCTCTTGAGCCGTCCTCGGGGCCCCTTGGACCGTCTTGGGGGCCTCTTTGGGCCGTCTTCAGGTCCTCTTGGGCCGTCTTGGGGCCCTCTATTGGGCTTCTTGGGCCGTCTTGGAGCAATGCTGAAGGCTGCTTGGGCCGTCATGGGCGTCTAAGTTTGAGAATCGAGAAAGGCGAGAACGCTAACATTCTTCAGCAACCTGGAAAATCAAAGATGTTTGCCTCTGGAGGCGCTCTTTGGGGTCCTCCCTGAGCCCTCTTGGGCTGTTTTGGGGGGCCTCATTGGGGAGAATCTGACCGATTACAACCACTTCGGACTGTTCAGAAACTACTTCGGTCGGATTGCAACCACTGGAAACGGATTGATCGCAACCTGAAGGATTCCTACACAAGTCTTTGTTGAGAACACCGGATTGTAACCGATCCTAGAGCTTCTGCAGAGCTTCCGAAGAGCTTCTGCAGAGCTTCCGAAGAGCTTCTGCAGAGCTTCCGAAGAGCTTCTGCAAAGCTTCTGCACAGCTTCCGCAGATCTCCGGGAGAGCGTAATCCACCGCCGCTTTATTGTGGATAATTCCTCCCTCTTCCTCCGGAACCCAGGAGTCCCCCCCCCCCTCCGAAAATCCCTCCCCCCCCTGCTAGACCCCCCCCGTTCCCTTGGCAAACCCCACCCCACCCCTCCGGAAAACCGGGGGGGTCACTACCGGTTCGAACCGATCCCCCCCCCTCCAGAAAACCGGGGGGGTCGGTATACCGGTTCGAACCCCCCCCTCTCAAGAAAACCGGGGGGGGTCATTACCGGTTCGAACCCCTTCCCTACTCACCGCCGGCAAAAGATTCCCGGGTCCCCAGCACCGTCCGCACCACATTCCCCACCGCTGTCTGTCCCGCAGTCCCCACCACTGTCCCACTGTCCCCACTGTTCCCACCAGTATCCCCGCTATCCCCACCAGTGCCCCCACCAGTGTCTCACTGTCCCCACTCTCCCCACCGTTGTCCCACCACGGTTCCACTCTTCCCACTTTCCCACGGTCCCCACCACTGTCCCACTGTCCCAAGTGTTCCCACCACTGTCCCACTGTCCCACTTTCCCACTGTCCCCACTGTCCCCGCGGCTGTCCCACACTGTCCCCACCACTGCCCCACTGTCCCCACTGTCCCCACCACTCCCCACTGTACTACTGTCCCACCACCGTCCGCACCACCGCCTTCACTGTCCCCACCGTTACCGTCCCCACCACTGTCCCACTGTCCCCACCACTGTCCCGCTTTCCCCTCACCACTGTCCCCACCACCACCCTCCCCACCATTGTCCGCACCACTGTCCCCACTGTCCCCGCACCACTGTCCCCACCACCACCGTGCCCACCACCGTCCGCACCGCCGCCTTCACCACTGTCCCCATCACTACCGTTCCCACCACTGTCCCACTGTCCCCACCACTGTCCCGCTGTCCCCTTACCACTGTCCCACCACCACCCTCCCCACCACTGTCCGCACCACTGTCCCACTCTTTCCACACCACTGTCCCCACCACCACCGTTCACACCACTGTCGGAACCACTGTTCCAGCCAGCGGCGAGGGGGGGGGTGTTCGAACCGGTAGTGGCCCCGCCCCCCCGGTTTTCGAGGAGGGGGGGGGTTCGAGCCGGTAGTGACCCCCCCTGGTTTTCGAGGGGGGGGGGTCGAACTGGTAGTGACCCCCCCCCCCCTTTTCATGATGAACTGTGGGGCGGGGGAGGGGTTCGAACCGGTAGTGAGCCCCCCCCCAGTTTTCGAGAGGGGGGGGGACGGGTTGGCAACTCCCAGTGACCCCCCCTCGTTTTTCCGCCAGCAGCGGTAGAACACGCTCTTTCATGTTGATGAGCTTTAGTGAAGAGTTGCTGAAGAGCTTCTGAAGAGTTTCTGAAGAGGTTCTGTTTCGTCTTCACACGAAGCCCACCCGCGAGGAGGAGGGAGGACGGAGGAGGACGAGGATGATGATGAGGGAGAGTCCGTGATGACGAGTTCCGAGGACCTTTCAGGCTTTCGACTCTCAGGGAGCTCTAGGCGAGCATTTGCGGGCATCGATGACGTTTACGGCGAATCACAGCACACCCCAGCCTTTGTGGAAACGCGTATGTGGCCGAACATTGGGCCAGACCTTGGGCAAGCTATTGGGCTATTTGCTCCCCCCACCCGCTGCTGATGCCCTGTGGGGAACTCTTGGGGGAGACGGGGGTACTATGATGAGGAAAAGGAAGAGAGAGGAGGAGGAGGAGAGGGCAGGAACTTTGAGGATTCCGTAGGGAGGCCGTTTCAGGAATCTGGCAATTCGTAGCATCCTTATTAATTCTTAGGATTGCCTAGGACCTTTTGAGGAATCTGGCAATTGGTCGGATCCCTTGGAATTCCTGGTGTTCCCGCAGAGGCCCTCCAAGGAATCCGAGCAAGTGGTGGGATCCCGTCGCATTCCCACGGTTGCCTAGGTGGCCCTCTTAGGAATCTGGCAAGTGGTAGGGGATCCGCAGGAATTCTTATGGATCGTCAGGAGGCCTTCCCAGGCATCTGAATAATTAGTGGGATCCCTGGGGATTTTTAGGAATGCCTAGGCGGCCCTCCCAGGCAGCTGGCACTTGGGAGAATCCGTAGGAATCCCCAGGATTTCTTCAGAGGCCCTCTCAGGAATCTCGGAAGGGTCCTTCTCAGCAGGAGCCTGGCAATTGGTAGGATCCCTGGGATTCCCTAGGATTCCCTAGGAAGCCTTTCCAGGAATTTAGGAATTTGTAGTGTCCGTCGGAATTTTTAATACTCCCGAAGAGACCCTCTTCGGATTCCGGCGAATTCCTCAGACGAATCACATCGGAATCGTTTGCGAATCGCATTGGAGTCGTATGCGAATCACGTCGGCATCGCATACGAATCGCATAGGAATCGTATACGAGTCACATCAAAATCGTATAGGATAATGGCCCACGTTCGAGCTCAAGTACTTGTGATTAGCTGAGATCATGATCGGCGGTGATCGGACCGATCGCAATCGCTTATTCAGATTCCCACTGTGGCCGGCTTGAGGGAGTTCAGTGCACCCAGCAGCGCTCTTCTGATCTTCCCCTCTGAATCGAGACCTTGTTGAAGCGACCCAAAAACATCGCAACCACTTCGGACCGATCGCAATTGTTTGTGATCGGTCTGAAATGGTCGACGACAGGTCCGACGTGGTTGCGATCGTTCTCCATCGCGCCTCATGGGCCCTCTTGTGGCCATCTTGGGCCGTTTTGGGGCAGTCTTGGCGGGCGAGGCCATCTTGAGTTTTCTTGAGGCCTTCTTGGATCCCCAAGAGGACCAAGAGGCCCAAATCATAGATGTTCCGTTGGTTTCGGTCGGTTTTCCTTTCCTGGGCTGGTGCCGCCACCGTGCGGGCGCAGCGCGCGCCTCGAACGCCGTGACGTTATTGGCCTCCTCTGCTGGCGACGGAGGTGTTCTTCCGACCATCCCTCCCGCCCCCTCATGCGGATCCCCACCATCCCACCACCCCAGTTGGGGATCTGTTCCACGGCCTCGAGGCGCACAAGGAACGGCCCATATCCCTTATCTATGGGGGTAGATCTGTACATAATAGTCGTATGATCTAGTCCACTAGGCAGTTTTGTAAGCTATGGGTCGACGCTTGCGCGGCGATGCTCCGGAGTCAGTCCGACTTGAATCCGACGTACGTCCGACGTGCATCCGACGTGGGTCCGACGTGGGTCCGACGTAAGTCGGGTCCCAAGTTGCCGCGCGAGGCGTCCAGGATTTTCTTCGTAACATGCCCATATGCTTTGGGCAGATCGACCAGTTTGGGCCCAGGCCACGCCGGTGCCCAGGAGGGGCCGCGGGAGGCCCGCGGGGACAGCGAAGAGTTGTGTCAAATCCGCCAATTCCCTCTACAGGAAGAATTTTCAAAAGTAGTCAAAACATGCGATGGACGATTTTCTTGCATTATTTGACGATGTGTTAGTATGTTAGTCAGACTGAGGGGGCCGAACGGTCATTCATTGTCCCTGGCTGCGTGGCTGAATAATGAATTCGTGGTGAGACTTGTTGCGTTGTTGACGTTGTTGTTGAACTCTCATTCCTGAATATGATTATTGTTGATTCCCCCTCACCGGTGCATGTTGTTTTTTCTCAATCAAAGTGTGCCCCTCGACGCTCGCACTTTTTTTGACAGGGGAAGTCTTGATG